AGTCTGGTATGAAAGTCTACTGATCATAGAAAATAATGTTTTTGCAATGACTCTATTCCAGTCAGAATTAGTTTATGCTTGTTGCTAACTATCAGGGTTTTATTGAGTTGACATAACTTTTAACAGTGGCATAATACATTAACATTAAAGCTTAGTGATGTATTACTTTGTGTGTGAAAATACCCTACAATCCTTGTCATTCAGTACAAAGCCTTGTATAAGTTAGCAGACTTCTGGTGATGGAGAAAACAGCAGTTGTGATGAAAGGGATTGTATAAAAGAGTTCCCGCTGTGAGTCCATGGCACAGTACAGAGAGATACAGGACACTGTATTCCCCAGGGCAGGTAAAATAATTAGCTGCAGGACTGGCACTTGGTCTGAGGGATTAATTAGAACTTAAGGTGGCGGATGGGGGAGGGAAGTCAGCCATAAAAAGTGTCAAAATCATTCTGGCCTGAAGCCTGTGTGATTTGATGTGAAATAGCAGCAGCTGGCTGTAACTTAGGAAGTGCAAGTGTGCAGCAGGTGGTAATTCCTGTCTCATTTACCATGTCTTCACAGGAACATGTAAGCTTGTGCAGCAAGGGTTTATTGACAGGTCAGAAGGAAAAACCTAAGGAAGACTTTCTAGGCAGTGTTTTAGATGTGTTAGGTCCCAGGATAGTAACAAGACAAGGTGGGTGAGGTAATATCTTTAATTGGACCAACTTCTGTTGGTGAGAGAGGCAAGCTTTCAAACTTCCTTCAGGTCCCCTGAAGAAGAGCTTAAAAGCTTGTCTCTTTCACCAGCGGAAGTTGTTCCAATAAAAGATATTAACTCACCCACCTTGTCTGTCTAATAAGGACTTTCTCACATTCACCATAAAGAGCAAATCCAACAGTCAGCATATAGCATATGCAGCATTATATAACGCTAGTAATAATGACTTCATAAAGCTATTGCATTTAAAAAACAGCAGTAAAATTACAATGGAGGTCTTTTAAATACCTGAAAGAAGTTGTGGCCTTATGAAGACTGCCACCCTGAGCACAGTGTATTGTGTTCCCACCAGAGTGTGTTCTGGGACTGCTGGGGGAATTCCTCCATTGAAGAACTTAGACTGCAGTATGATGGATGTAACAGGGAATTTTAATATTCATCAGTTTCCTCCAGAGGCGTCATGTAGGAATGTACAGTCATGATAAGTGTCCAGCTTGGTAAGCAGGGCCCTATGTGTTGCCATACCGGTGGCCATGCTCCAAATTTCATGGTTCTACTTAGATGTTTGTGGAGGGGGATCAATGAGAATCTGACTGTGCATATCTGGATGTTGTGAGCTAATGGAGTTCTGGAATGGGAATGAATTCAGGCTGTATTGTCGATGAACCTTAGTGGTCCAGTGTAGTTGTTGCTTATTGTGGTGCCCTAATTATTGGAAGGGGAATGAAGAGTGAGAGATGAGTGCTCTTATTATGTGTGTTTTAAAACTCAGACAAAATAAATGAAATAATCCACCACTGAGCAACTTTGAATCCATCCCTGGCAACATCTCCAGTTAGAAAAAACCCCAGATCTAAATACTGTATCAGAGAGGGAGAACAGAAGGAGGAGAATTCATTTTGCAGAAGATAGATCTTCTGTGTCCTTTAATTTTGAGTGACTCATTGTGCAACAGCACCATCTGAACCCCAGAAGGCAAAATGCCTCTTCAAGTTCCCAGGCATGCAGACCCTATGTACCTGTTTCCTTTCACCTTCACAATGTTCTACTTAACATCTAAGTATGCCTGAGAGGGAGAACAGAAGGAGGAGAATTCATTTTGCAGAAGATAGATCTTCTGTGTCCTTTAATTTTGAGTGACTCATTGTGCAACAGCACCATCTGAACCCCAGAAGGCAAAATGCCTCTTCAAGTTCCCAGGCATGCAGACCCTATGTACCTGTTTCCTTTCACCTTCACAATGTTCTACTTAACATCTAAGTATGCCTGCCTAATTATCCTGACTCCTCTCGAACCCCTTCTGGAGCACCTTGTGCCCATATGGGAATACAGTAGTAGTCTATGTTACCCTGAGTGCATGGTCTGGCTTTTATGTAGCAATGTCTTTCCTTACTATTGCACATCTTCCTAAGAGCAAATCAGAATCCACTTGTAAAATAATATTAGAAAGAGGGTTTCTCTCTTGCCCTAATATATTTGTACATACAAATATCTGCAATACATATAAATAGCTGCAATATTGATAACTGCTCATTATTTTGTTTTGGTAGCTTCAGAGGGGTTGAGTATGCCAGTGGTGTCTGTGCATATAAACATTTTGTAGAGGGATGCACAAAAAATTCACAAGCTTGAGCCTTTCAGAGCTTTTGAGTTGAGCTGTAGGGCACCTTTTCTGAGCAAAATCTCCTTTTCCTTTTCTTCCACAGGTCTGGTTCATGTTCAGAAGGGAATAAATCAATATTGATCCAAGTGTCCATTAATATTTTTAAATTGCCAAATTTCAAACCTGTTATATGCAGAGCTAACAAAAACATCATGTATTATCATGTTGTAATTGTAGAGCCTACGAAGTGGAAATGAAGCCATTAAAATATTTTCAATTAATCCTTTTTTTTAAATAAACAAGATTTAGTGTGTATCACTGTTGTTTAGGTTTTAGCTCTTTTGTTGGTTTTTTGTTCGTACCTGTTTTCATTACCTAAGGATTGTATTTTGTCAAGGAAAGGAATGGACCATGTGCACAGTATGGCTAATGAGTCACAGATGTAAAGATTCTGGCATGTTACCATCTAATAACTTTTAAAACTCATATTCCATAATAAGACAAACACCAATTAAATACATCTGTTTTCCAAATTATGCATCATTCCTGTGTTCATTTCTAGGATCAGAGTCTCTGCTCACTTCACTGGTGTAATAAGGAATAACTCTACTGAAGTCAGCAGAGGTGACTCAGTATAAAACAAAAGTGAGAGGAGAGTCACTACCCAAATTTTAAGATGTGATTTAAATGTACCATTGGACTTTATTTGTAAAGAAAAATCTAAAATCCCTCTGATCAAAAAGGAAAGGGAGGACAGAAGAGGTTTCAGCTACTTGTAATGGTTTAAAAAATGCTGCTGCAGCATAAAGCCTCTGTCAGGCCAGAAGTGTCCCGAGATATTTTAGATAACATACTGTGCTACAGGAAAAATATACTGATCAGCTGTGGAAGAGAGAGAAGCCTTTTCCCTTTAACAGGTCTAAGTCCCACCCTCCAATGATATGTTAGAAAGGTGGATATTGGATGCAAAATTCACCTTTCTTATCCTCTCAGCTGGTTCCAACTCGGCTATTCTCCTCTTCCTTCATCAATACAATGGGAGTTCTGCACATGCAGGAAGAGTAGAATGTGTGAAATCACCATGGGGGATCTGAGAGGAGAATTTTGAACTAGAGGTGATGATACTGCTGTCTATATTGAGAATGTTGAACGTGGCCATCTGACAACTCCTGATCTAGCAGTAGACCATTGTTCAATGTGTATTGTTGTTTATAAATAGTATCAGTTTATGTACTGAATGTCATATGATAAACAGAGTATTATAGGTATAATAATTCAAAGTCATATCAGGATCTGCTCTCAGTCTTTCAGGTTCCTCAGTGATCTCGAGGCAGAGCTTTGTACACGTACCTCTCTATAAGTGCTATTACATATATATTGTTTGAAAATGGCTTATACCTCAGCCAACTGTAGCGTAACAGATGTCAAATGTTTATAATTATCCATAATAACATTTGACACTGCTGAGTGGCTTTTTCCTTTAATATTCCTTTATATTCTTTATGCAATATAACCAAACAAATCTCTGATATACTGTTCGCGCCTAGTTCTGTTTCCCATATGACAAAGCTGTCGAGCTGTTGATAGGCAGTGGGGCGTACTAAACACAGTGTTTGTTCTGTTTGTCCATTAGTAAATTGTCTGTGTGCTGTTTTGTGTCGTGTTGTTTTGGTCCCATGTTATGTTGTGTCCCTAGGGTCTGCCAGGCTTCCCCACAGTTGCTGCTCTGCACAGTAATCAGATCCTCACCGTCAAGGTTTGTGGCTGACATGTACCTGTTCAGTCAGGTCTCCCTATCAGCATAACAGTGCCCATGAATAGTTATTTTTGCCATGAGATACTGATTAGCCCATCTTACTAACTAAGGGCCTAATTCTGCTTTCACCCCACACAGGTTTCATGCTGTAATTCCACTTACCTCCAATGGAATTACTCCTGAAATACAGTGTGAATGAGATTAGAATCCAGCTCTGTGTGTGTTATTATCTATACTAGCATCCATATCACCCATACTCTTGAAGGGCATTTTGGTGGTTAGATGAAGTTTTATTATAATTGTGTTTTATGAAGACATACGGGAGTATGGAAAATGTCAAATTACTATACATCAGGCACCTAATGAGCATAGACAGATTCAATTATCTGTTTATGTGTCATGCACCAGTAATTTAAGCTGTACCCTTGCAGATGCACTTTGAAAAATGTATAAATTAAGCAGGAAGGGTTTAAGCAAGCTAAGTATGCCTGGATTTCAGATATCATTAAAATGGCACCATTCTTCATGGCACAGTATGCTGGTTGGAAAATCTGATTGAAAATTGAATTGGTGCTTTGTCTATGGAATCTTTGCTAAAGGACCAGGATATAAAAATATGCTGATTTTATACCCCAAGATTATAAAATGTTGGTGAACTCAGAGATACCTAAAAGAATTGCTAGGAAGAAATCTTGTGTTATGTTACCTTTAATTAATCCATAAGTAACAAAGCTTTTATCTTTTATCTAGTCAATCTCTATGTTAAATCCTTTATAAAGAAAAGGCACAGATTTTATCAGACACAAGCACCAGTTTATACTATATTAGCTATTATAAATCTAATGTATATATATTTATTTCTTTCTTGGGGCCTTCTGATGTCTATTCTTCAACTCTCTCATCTCTGAACTTCAACCTTTGACCTCACCTGCCTGATCAGATGGTGTTTCCTAAAATCAATCATGGGTTTCTCTCTGCTGATCAGCAGCTCATTAAACGCCGCCTCATTAAGGTAGTGCTTAATCTCACTGGACTCTGGTTCTTCTTTGCATTTGATTATTACTCTATACTATACTTTTTTTGTCAAATGGCCTATTTTAGTGGGTAATTAATTTGAAAAATATCATGGAAATAAACCATTTTTTATTAAATGTATATGTGTAGAATAGCAGTGGAAAATTACACAAAGCTTCGCTAAAAGCTTCATATTTAATGTTCAGCCAATGAGGCTTCTTACAGGAGCTGGCAGCTGTGTTCTGGAAAATGAATAAAAATACTGTTTTTAATAGGAAAGAAATGTGTTTTGGCAATCGGTAAATTCAGCTATTACAAAATAAATCTATCCAAATCATAAAAGTAGACACTTGCTTATCACTATCAAACAGCTACTGAAAACAGATAAAATATTATACCCAGCTTTTCAGCAAAGCAATTATATTTCACCATCCTTTTAGAACTCCATCAGTACTCAATCGTTGAGCTTTGCAAAATTACTTTGAAAACGGAACAACTCTCAGACAAACCTACTCACTCAGTCTTTGCTGTGAATCTGTGATCATAGTTTTGCCAGGCTATGCTAAACATATGCTATAAATCCTGCTATTGTTTGGAAGCTGAGCCTCACACTTGTGACTATATTGGCTGGTTGCACCATACAGGTGCAGCACAGTAGTCTTCTGAGGCTAAGTGCAGTCTCTGCCATAAGAAATGAAGATGCTGCTTAAAGACTGTCTCCTTCCAGGATCAAAGTAAGCATCCTGCTCATAGCAGCTATTTCAGCCCATTAGGAACTTGTTGCAGGTCAGTTGGTGTCTTTTTGTGAGGCTTTATACATCTGAAGATAAACTTCTGATGATGATTTTGTTGACTCCTGTTCAGGGTGACCAAGGACAAGCTGGACCCCCTGGTCCTCCAGGACCACCAGGACCCAGAGGTCCTCCAGGAGACACTGGCAAGGATGGCCCCCGAGGGATGCCTGGAGTACCGGTGAGTTAGCCTAGAGGATATAGTGTCATCACTAGGGTGTATGAGTTCTTTACAAGCATGAATACATTTAGCCTCACAAACACGCTTGTGAGGTGGGAAATATTATTATTCACATTTTATCAATGGGGAAACTGAGCCATAGGAAGGCTATATAATATGCTTAATGCAACACACAGTGAGTAAATAACCAGGCTAGGAAAAAGCACCCAGATCTCATGATTCTCATGGGAAATTATTTCCCCCTGGTCCCTGACCTTTCTGAATTGTTTCCTGATATTTTAATTATTACAATGCTAGGTAGCCTCCTGGAAACAAGAAGAGGATGTTTCAACACAACCACTCACTTAAAACTCTTAAAGCTAAATTTGGATCTAGGTTATTATATGTTTGATTTCTAGTTCCCTAATGATGATGGTGATTTTTTTAACAAATGAAGTTTGAGGAAATAGATTAATAAATTCTATGCACTATTCTCAGAGCCTGATTCTGCCATCCAGACTCCAGAGATGAGCAGCCTACCGCTCCTCAGAAAGTTCCATATATTTCAGTGGTGTTATTCTCAGTCAGTCATCATTTGTTTGGGAGGAAGAGTCTTCGTTTTTTTGGCATTTTGTTGCTGGAGATCTGACAACATTTTTTAAATTAAATCATAAATACAAAAGTCACTTGGCCCTATTTTTAACGAGTCTTGGAAATGCTCATGGTTTTATATTTGGGTGACCTACTAAAGTCCTTAGGTTTTTTTAAGGAGCCTGCCCCCCTTTTTCATATTCATAGTCCAAAGGGACATAAAATCAACATTGTGAAGGAAAATTCATGGTTCCATATGTGAGGCCAGGGCAGGAAGACATAAACCTTTCCTACAGAGTCCTTTTTAAGTAAAAACCAAAAGGAAAATACATCCAATCTCATGCTCTGATCTCATTCTGAATGCCTCATCCTACGTTATATTAACTATATAAAATTATAGAACATAACATAACAATAATAGCTCAGTTCTGTTAAAACTTCTTGGGAAAACCCAACAAGACATGGAATTTAGATATCTGAGTCCAAAAAGCCTTTCAAGAATTGCCTTGAAAAATCTTTGGTTAAAAGAACACTGAAAGGTCATATACATCTGCTATTTTCCATTCTTGAAGGTTCATCTCAGCCACCCACTCACTTCTGCAGAGATGCACCATCTCTGCATTGTCAAAAAAAACTTTGGACTTCTTTCTGATATCCCTTGCAGCAGTAAAACTCCACTCACATAGTGGAGATACTCCTGAATTACAGTTGTGTAAGTGAAATCTGAATCAGCTGTCTGACCCCAACAGTGTAATTTTCTCTGGATCACGCACAAGAGGCTGAGGTTGGCACTGATGAAAAGAAAGCAAGACTGATGATAATGTGGCTTGATTTTTGCTTCTCAAGCAAGGGGAGCAGTAGTGTTTAACATAGCAGGGAAAAATGCATCTTCTTTATACAGTAGGGGTCATCAAGAATCATAATGGTCCTGCAATAAGTTTGACTTCAGACCACAAAGGACAGATTATAATGTTTATTTGTTTATTTACATAGCTTTAAAGGATGTGCATATCTAAAGGCTTTTAAGTGCATGCATATGCAGATCACAACATTTGGGAACAAATAGCACCAATGACCATATCAAAATTCTCTAAAAACACTAATTACTATTATTTCCCTCCCCTCTCTTCCCACTACTTTGCTGCAGGAAATATGCAACTGGATGTATTTTCCTTGTTGCATATAATGTGTATTATGATTTAGTTCTTTTTGTGTGTGTGAAGCATTTGCAAACTGACTGTGGTCACTGCAAATGTGTTATTTGTGGCCATTTGCCAGACATTTCAAACAAACAAGATTCAGTCTTTGTGTTTTTTCACTGCTGTTCAGTCTGGCTATATACAACTTGATTTACTATAAATGAATAATTGGTCACTTAAGGGACATCATATTATTTTCTGCTCTGTGATTGGACTGAAACTTTTTAAATAAAGAGAAGAATGAACACAAGTATTCCTTTTCTTCTATGAATACTTTTGTTTTCATGACAATAACTAGCCATTCCCCAATCAGTCGTATGAATAAAAGTGCGTTCACATGATTTCCAAAGTGAACAGAGTAGTACAAACATGGTTGAACTGAACAGTTGTTTGGAATTAGAATGAATATTTGGAAACACTGTTTTTCAGTATTCAGACATGTAGCATGTCATGAAGGTGAACAAATTCACTTTCTTTTGGACTAGTGCAGCAAAATGAGCACCACAGTCAGACACTGGGCCAAATCTCTTATCCAGTTTTTACTCAGTCAAGATCCTATTAACTTCAGTTACACTAGTTGGCAAACTTTGTTTGTAGTTTCAGCAGAGAGGCCAAAGAATGAGTAGGCATGGGGATTGATTGATTTTCTTATCTTTAAGGTCCTTTCAAGCCATAGTGGGACAGCCTACCTTACACTTAAATTCCTCTATACCTTCTCTGTGGAAAAATGCCTTCATTTTCAAGGGCAGTCAATGCATCACTTTTAACAAACACTGAAGCATTTAGGTATAATTCAGGTGTATGTAACATGACAGTCTTTTCTTATAGTTTATTTCGGGTCCAGAGATATTAGATATTCTTGCAGCTGTCATGTGTTACAGTAGGTATTTCAGTGTACAGTACTTAATAGACATTTTAATGCTACTAAGTAGGGAATGGATATAAATAACATTATTGATATAAGTCCAATTTATTTTTAAAGGGAGAGCCAGGAAAACCAGGTGAACAAGGGTTGACGGTAAGTACCTTTCTTCTGTTTCTAGTTTACTAAACAGTTGTAAGGAGTACATTTATGTTCTCATCAATGGTGGTAACTCCAAAAAGTCCTATGAATTTGTTTAACCCTTTTTAGTGAGAAAGGTGTATGGATTCTCCTTTATGATGAGACATAGAAGGACAGATCTCTCCTATGCACAACAGGCTGACTCTTCTTTCCTCTGAGAGAAACCAAGGCAGTTGATTGCACAACAGGAGGAAAAGAGCCAGCTGAGCTATACCCTGCTCCCAAGGAGTCCCATGTCTGCCCTCTGTACAGAGCTTAATTGTTGTATCTTGCCCACTTCTTTAACAACCCCAACTCTGTCTTGGCTCTGTGGTAAGAGTTCTGGCATCTTTTCAAGAACAATAAAAGAGGAAATGTTGCATACCGAAACTCACAAGATGTTCTTCTTGTGCGCTTCTTCTCCAATATATGGAAGAATCTGGCCCTTAATTCAATAGTCAAGGAGAGGCATTTTTATGAATATAGTGATCTGGAAATAGGTTTGTTCTGCTGCATCAAGAAAATAAAACCTATTAAATCTGAAATAAAATAAACACCATCACTTCTAACCCCCACTT